CGTCTGCTCCCTGAGCCCCAGAAACCCCCGCCGCTGTCCCCCGCGGGGGCTCATCCTGCCTCGCGGCGGCGCGGCACTAAGCCGGAGCCGCGCGCTACCTTCACGTCCACCCCTGTAAAGGGAGCGTGCGGGGAGGGAGGAGATGGCTCCGCGTCCTCCAGCAGCAGCGCCGCGAGGGCTTCGATCGCACAGTTCAAAACCGGAGCTCCCCCGGGTTGGCTTGGGTTTCCTCGGTCTTCTTCCCACCCGTGGACTCCAGAAGGGGCTGCCTGGCCTGGGGGAAGAAAATCCTAATTGTCTGGGTCTCCCCCTGGCATATCTCCTTTTGATTTGCTTTCTTCCCTAAAGCTTTGCAGCCCCTCGCAAAAGGTGAAAGCCGTGAGCCTTCCCGGGAGCAGCTCAGCTTTGCAGGCAAACCCACGGCTCCTGGAGCTGGCTCTTCATGGAGAGCAAAACGGAGGGCTTTGCAGCGCTGGATCCTGGGGCAGAAGGGGAGAGTAAATGTCGGAGAGGAGTCTTGCTTCCTGGCTCTAGGTTTTTCCTGCGGTGACTTGCAATCGCCCTGTGCTTGCTGGCTGCTGCCTCGGACGTGAAGCAACGGCAGCGAGCAGCCCGCGGTGCCTCTGCAACGGGGAGCTTGTCTTGCGGAGTCGTTAGCCTTGCAAAATTAGCCCAGCTCTTTAGTCCTCCCTGCTTTGGTTCCTCTTACCCGTTCCCCGGTGCTTTCCCTCCCCGCAGGGGCTGGGAAGGGCATTTACTGCCCTCGCCCCCCAAGCTGGGGACTCCTTGGACGTGTTGCGTGTCCTCTGCAACGCAGCTGCCCGCGGCGGTGGGTTGCTCCAAGTGCACGGCGCCCTTATCCTGGAGACCTCTGCCCGTCGGGGAGGGGGCCCTGGGCGCCTCTCCTCGGCGAGCGGAGCCCAGGCCCTTCCCGCTGATTTTGTGGGGCTCGTCCCCAGGCTGGGCGTTAGGCTGCTCCCAGCTTTTTCTCTCCCTTCGTGTAGCACGTCTTCAACCTGACCTTTGCAGCAGTATCCCTGAAAAGCGCTGAGCAATCCAAAGCATTTGCCGTTAATCCTTTCTCCGCCAGAGCCCCCGGACGTGCATCACCCTTGCAGATGTCCCTCTTGGCAACGGCCTGTGGTCAGGGGCACAAATCCTCGCTGCTAAACCTTTGCCCTGGGGGTTAAAGTTTTCGAGCAAGAGTCCTTGAGGTTGTCAGCATTTCGCCGCCGCGTGTCCTGCTGGAGCTCAGCTCTGGGCTTTGCAAGCCTTGCGGGCCGGCTGGAGAAAGGAGGGGGGGTTTTCCTGGGTTCGGGAGGAAGCTTTTGCAGAGCAAGGCCACGGCGCCTTGCAGAGAAGGTCAGAGAAAGAGCTTGTCGTTCCTGTTGCTGGCTGGTGCGGGAGTAGTTTCGGGCAGGGAGGGAGCGGGCTGAGCAGCTGGAGGCTGCTGCAGGGAGACCCTGCTCCGACTTCAGGTGGCTCCGCGGTGATTGAGAAGAAGGGGTTTTGCCAACCCCTTACTGTGGCAAGAGGGGACGCTCAA